GAGGCTCTTAGTGCTCAGTAGACTAAGCCCAAAGCTGTGTTTATTATTTCTGTCCTTTTTCCATTTTTGTCAGCCTTTCTCTGGCTCAGGAAGGCTGTTTATTGCTCTCCTTGTGCTGCTGGGAAAGAATTTTTCTCAGATTTGGTCTCCAGCTGCCTTTTTTGTATTGGCGCAACAATCTCTCAAACAGACTTGTGGTTTAGCTCTTCAGCTGTGTAGGGAGCTGGGGTTTATGGATTACAGAGGTTCCCAAGGTTCAGTTCTGCTTCTTATTGATCTATCTGTGTCACAGTATTTACAGTAAAATTTGTGCAAAATCTGTTAGAAGGATTCCCTCCCAAAAAAAAGCAATGACCTTCTGTTTGTCTCGCACATCATTACCCCTTATGTCTTTGGCTCTCAGTTGAGTGTTGGCTGGGTCTTGAAAACATTTGAGTACAGCTGTGGAACATCAGATGATAGCAATGATAATAAAACACTCTGTGGAAGCTGGCTGCAGTCTCTGTGGGAGATGAAGGTTTACCTCTGTCAGATAAGATATTGTGCAGATTCTGGATGGATCGATGGAAATCCTCTGAAGAAGTGTGCTCAGCTCCATTCCGTTTGCAATGCAAGGTATGATATTTGAACAGAGGACAGCAGTGGATTCTGGGTAAATGAACAGCTAAGCACATGGAAGTAGCTTGGAAGGAAACCGTTCCAGGCCTGTAGCTTTGGGTCTTCAGAAACAAACAGGGAAAATACAGCTTACAAAAGTCAAAGTTCTTCTGTAGCTGGAGTTCATACAATGCTGACGAGCTTATCTTCTCATTGTTTACTAACAATGACTGAGTCCCAGCTTCCTGTCATGCTCTCTGAAGCCACAGAAAACAGCTCAGGGGGGGCGCTGTAATTTGTGGGTTCCTGCTGCATGGGTCCCCCTCCCCGATTCTTGTGCTGCACTGTGTCTCCTGTTCATTTTCTGCTGATGTGGTGCTATGCCTCTAGGCATTTTGAGCCATATCCTGTGGGAATGTCAAGCGAAGGATGGAATGGAAAGAAGGCCGTCCGACTGCGCCTCGGTGACGCTCCCGTACATGGTGACGGACGCGCCTCGTGCCGTCCGACTGTGCCGCGGTGCCGCTCCCGTACATGGTGACGGACGCGTCTTATTCACAATGAACCTGCATCAGAATGGTCTTATCAGCTCAATAAAGAATCCAGAATCGACATGGTTAATCATGTTTAAATGAGCTTAGGCCACATTTTCAAACACGCCCCCTGACCTCCTGACTTTCCTGTGGTAGAAACAGCAACTTTCACATCCTGGTCAGACTGATAAACCCCCCGCCCCCTTGACTTTCCTTGGGGGGTAGGTTCCTGTCTGTGTACCACATGACCCAGCCCATGTCATGCAGGAAAGCCGCATGCTGACAGGAGCAGGTTCTGTACGCAGTCACTGATGTCTGTTCCCATGGCATTGCCCCCCCCCCCGGCTTTCTCTGTCTCCCTCCCAGGCCTGTGCGCAGCAAAGCTGCTGGTGGAGTCGGGTCTCAACCCGGTCGTGCTGGAGGCCCGAAACCGGGTGGGGGGGCGCACGTTCACCGTACAGGTAAGGGCCCTGTGGGGGGGGGGGCTCCAGGAAGGCGAGGCTCCATTTTCACACTGTGCCGCCGCCCCCCGCCTGGTTACTCCGCTCCCTGACAGTGTTGGAGCTCATTACCCGTTCCTGACCTGTGATTGCATTTACCCCGTGATCGATAACCCATGCTCCATTCGCATATTCTCATGCATGTTGCTTAAGAGGAATTTTTGCATTGGTATGTTTCAATGTTGTCCAAAAAATTAGTAATTAGTTGAAGTTACTTCAATAGTAATTCGGTTATTTTACTAATTACTGCATATAAAAGTAATTATTTACTAGGGAAAGCAACTTTTGTATTATTTCAATTTTCTTATTAATGCATACAAATAGTTATATTATTTTAGTGTTTCTGCTGTGATACAGTGCCAGACAATATAACTGTTGAATTTTATGTAGCACTGTACCTAATGTCACCCATTCGTTGTGCCACCGTGATGTCGGATGACGTTAGATCATAAACAGGAAATTGGGGCAATAGGTTGCTTTTGTCCATGAATATTTTCACGCAAGACAAAATTAACAAATAATGAGCCCATTTCAATTTCAGTACTTTTAATTGCCTTATTTAAATTGGAAAGGTAATTTGTTATATTACTCGTTACCTCCAAAAGTAGCGGAACGATAGCTATGCGTTGGATCCAACACTGGTACATCTGAAGTGTAACACCTTTGTGCAGCTCGAAGAGCAACCCAGCGGCTGCCGAATGCGGGGACTGCGTGTCGTCTTGCAGGTAGGCAGCACTGAACTTGTCTTTTCTGAACCCAGAACAAGGAGACCAAGTATGTGGATCTAGGAGGGGCCTATATTGGGCCCACGCAGAACCGCATCCTACGGGTGGCTAAGGAGTTCGGCGTGGAGACCTACAAGGTCAATGAGAAGGAGAACCTAGTCCACTACATCAAGGTGAGAAGATTCGCTCCGCCCCTGAACAGAATGGAATTTATTGATTTTCGGGTTATTTGCGTATTTGCTTTGGAGAATTCCATGCGCCTTGTCACCTCTTCCCATGAAGTGGAAGCGTCTGTAACTGTCACTAGTGTGAACTAGGTGTCAAACATTTGCATGCAGAGATTCACCATATAAATAGCTTATAGACATGAGAGTGCGATGCAGCAAACTGGTTTTCTTGCTAGTAGCTATGAGGTGCTGTGGGTGGACCAGCTTCTCCTAACGTCATCGGGGCAATCAGCTACCCTCACAGAACCCCTCAGATTATTTATCAAATGAATACAACAGTAAATTGCAGCATGAATGAGGCCTAATGAAACTGCTTTCATGAATCCGAAGCCATTTCATTCCACTCGTGTGCGTCGTCTGTGATGCCGACGTGGCACTGAAAGATACAGCTTGATGGTCTGGGTCAGCTCCAGAACCATTTACTTCGAGTCCCAAGTACCACATCAGCAGTGCTGTTAGAGGTTTTGGACCCCATGAAAGCCCGTCACACTGGGCCTGTGCATTGTTCAAAATTCCACCGGGGGGGGGGGGGTCACATGACCAGCGAGGCTCCCGCACCCTGGGGACCTAATGGAGCTGGATACGCAGCTGCTGGGGACACTAATGTGCCCCCACCGGAGGCTCTATTGGGGTCTCTGCTGGCCTGAGTGCCCAGGGCCCTAAAGATGCTTCGCTAGCTGCCGCCTTTTCCCCCCACGTTTCCAATTTGCCAGGAGCCCCCCACCCTTCCAGGGGCAAACCATACCTCCCCTTACTGGGTTTAGCTTCAGACTTCCTTACCTGCTCAGTGCCCTTGCTTGTGTCTCTGCTCTGATGCCTCACCGGCGTTAGCGATCCTGTCTTTGTGGGGGCTTCCCATTGGCTTAAATCACTGATTAGCCCCTACTGCATTCTGGGAAACCTCCAGCACCCCCACGCGGCCTGCCCCGCAAACACACCTGCCTTTGTCCTGGCTGTCAGCGCTGCCTAACGCTGGCGTTCATAATTTATCAGCATTTTGTGCTGTAGGGAGAAACCAGATGCTTTTTGTCTGAGAGGAACGACAACAGCGAAAGTGTAGCAGGAAGTAGCGGATAGGCAGTTCCGGGGTGTTCTGGAGTCAGGCACTGGAATTTATTCAGACCCATTAGAGGGGGGCCTCTCATCTGCTGTGGAGAGATCTTGCCTGCTTACATGGCAAGAAGAAGGGCTCGGTCAGATCGCAGGTCTCAAGCCGCCTGGAAAGTTCCGGAGGGGGAACGCGGACAGTCTCAGGTGCGGCGTGGCCCGTAGAGTCTCCCAAAATGGGATCGTTGCCATGGCACCATCCATAATAAAACACCCACGATAAGGAGGTCCAGCTCATTATAGCCTTGGGGGTGGGGGGTGGGAGCGTTCCTTCCCCAGTCTGTGCCTTTCTCTAGTTAGGCCTGGGGGGGAGGCCCTGAATGTACGGATCTTTACAAAGTCCTGGGTTTGTCTTGTCTCCTCTGAAACGAGCGGAGGAGAGTATGGCTCTGTCTTCAGGGCAAAGAGGCTCGTTGCCTATAAGAGACACCAGAACACAGGGAGAGGGTGTCATTCTAATTGGGCTTCTAATCACCATAGATTATCAGTGGCCGCTAATGAAGTGACAGGCAGCCTGACGGAAGGGAGCCGTCGATGCAGATGAATCGGATTATCAGAGGAGCCTGTGGTTAGCAACAGCCCGACTGACGGTTTAGCGTCGAGGGCCCAGTGTCGACCGGACCCTCCAGTGCAGAGCCACGGTGACCCGTTGTGTTTTTACGCTGCACACGAGACGATCGAAGGACAGCCAGGTGAAGGGCGGGAAGTCCGTGACCATCCTTAGATTCAGGTATCCCTTAAAACTGTCACAGGGAATGCACTGTCGCAGGGAATGCACTGTCGCAGGGAATGCACGTCGGTACGGAAGCCCCACTTTCTGCAGGGCGACCCCCCTCTCTGCATTGTGCTGTTTTTTTAATTTTCATTCCCCAGAGCGGCTGAACAAAGGGATACAGCTTTGGCTTTTTTTTTATAATCACGGCGGAGCCTGTCCTCGTGTTTAGCCTGGGCAGTGGTTGTCATGGAAACGGTCCTGTCGCCGCTTTGGTCTGTTGTGCTGTCGGGCACGGCCTGCCTGCGGACCAGCCGTCGGGAGACGCGGCGGACCGGGGATCCCCCTGGAAACAGCACCGGCGTGAGTCGCTGAAGGTCCTTCGTGTCCACAGATCTACGCTTTAGCGACCGCTGGCGTCTCCCAGCGATGAGAGTGTCAGGAGATGGACCTCAGATACAGTGAGGAACATAAGCATTTGAACACCCTGCGACTTTGCAAGTTCTCAAACTTAGAAATTCGACATGGAGGGGTCTGATATTCACATTGTAGGTGCATTCTGACTGTGAAGGACAGCATTTAAAAAAAAATCAGGAAATCACATTGTATGATTTTTAAAGAATTTATTTGTATTGCACTGCTGCACATAAGTATTTGAACACCTGAGAAAATCAGTGATAATATTTGGTACAGAAGCCTTTGTTTGCAATTACAGAGGTCAAACGCTTCCTGTAGTTCTTGACCAGGTTTGCACACACTGCAACAGGGATTTTGGCCTGTCTAGATCTGTCAGGTTTCGGGGCTGTTGCTGAGCAACACGGAGTTTCAGCTCCCTCCAAAGATTTTCTATTGGATTTAGGTCTGGAGACTGTCTAGGCCACTCCAGAACCTTGATATGCTTCTTACGGAGCCAGCCCTTGGTTATACTGGCTGTGTGCTTCGGGTCATTGTCATGTTGGAAGACCCAGCCACGACCCATCTTCAATGCTCTGACTGAGGGAAGGAGGTTGTTGCTCAAAATCTCACAATACATGGCCCCATTCATCCTCAGTCAAAGCATGATGTTTCCACCCCCATGCTTCACAGTAGGGATGGTGCTCTTGGGATGCAACTACTCCTTCTTTTTCCTCCAAACACAGCGAGTGAAAAAGTTCTATTTTGGTCTCATCTGACCACATGACCTTCTCCCATGCCTCCTCTGGATCATCCAGATGGTCATTGGCAAACTTCAGACGGACCTGGACATGTGATCACTTGAGCAGGGGAACCTTCCTTGCAATGCATGATTTGAAACCATAACGGCGTAGTGTTCTACCAACAGTGACCTTTGAAATTGTGATCCCAGCTCTCTTCATGTCATTGACCAGCTCCTCCCGTGTAGTTCTGGGCTGATTCCTCACCTTTCTTATCAGCGATACCCCATGAGGTGAGATCTTGCATGGAGCCCCAGTCCGAGGGAGACTGACAGTCATCTTTAGCCTCTTCCATTTTCTAACAATTGCTCCAACAGTTGATCTATTTTCACCAAGCCGCTTGGCAATTGCCCCGTAGCCCTTTCCAGCCTTGTTGAAGTCCACAATTCTGTCTCTGGTGTCTTTTGACAGCTCTTTGGTCTTGCCCATGGTAGTAGTTGGAGTCTGACTGACTGTGGGGTGGACAGGTGTCTTTAAAGAGCTCAGACAGGTGCTACTAATTTAGATTAATAAGTGGAGTAGAGGTGGACTTTTTAAAGGCAGAGTAGCAGGTCTTTGAGAGCCAGAATTCTTGCTGATTGCCAGGTGTTCAAATACTTGTGTGTAGCAGTACAATACAAATAAATTCTTTAAAAATCATACAGTGTGGTTTCCTGATTTTTTTTTTTTAATGCTGTCTCTCACAGTGGGAATGCACCTACAATGTGAATTTCAGACCCCTCCATGATTTCTAAATGGGAGAACTTGCAAAATCGCAGGGTGCTCAAATTCTTATGTTCCTCACTGTAGATGTAGAGTGTGTTATCTGGGGCGTGACGCGGTAGACGATGTCAAACAACTGCATTGACTGACAGGGTGAAGCTCAGCCGGGTCCAAAGCGTTGTGGGGTCCCGATTGCCCCCTCCTGGGCGATAGTAATGACAGGGAGTGGATAAAATGACCATATCGCAAAGGCTCTGCACCACACAGAAGTCAAGGTCTGCACTCTGATTCTCCCCATTTGTCACTTTTAATCAACTCATCTGGACATTTCTTACTTAAACATTTAAGTTGATCCACCCCCATTATGTAGATAGTATATCTGTAGGGTTTCGTCTACTTCTGTATGGTTTTATAAGTGTTAGCTTGTCGCTAGTTACCCAGGCCCCCTCCTCCTCATTTATGATCATCTGCTTTTGACATCGTTCCTCTCGATACAGATGCACGAGTGAAACGTGCAAACAGAAGTGGCTTTCACCTTCTCTGCCCTGTACCTCCAGTGGGCTGCATCTTCTCGACGCTGCCGTCGGTTGGACCTGGGTTGGATTGCTTGATGTGGCTGTTTTAGGCCCCTCACCGCCACAGACATCCGTTCCAAGTTCAACACAGCTGAGGCCGCGCTGAGCTTTAAGGGGGGGATTTAGCCGAATGTGGATGCCCCCCCGTCTGCTCTAGCCAGCACATTCTGCAGCTGTAGCTCGGCTCTTTAACTTGTTTACATGACCCACTAAGTGTTCCCTGCGACTTACGTAAGAGCTGCCCCCACAGCCCCCTCACCTCCGCCACTCCAAATATGCAGTATGAGTTGATGCAGGCAAGCTGAGAAACACTCCCTGCTGAGATGGTGAAACACCAGACGGGTGAACAGGGAGCCCTGAGCACAGAGAGCCAAGTGTGTGCTCTGGGCGGCCTGTTCACCCGTCTGGTGAACTGGCTCATTGGCAGAGTGTCTGCAGTGCTGGTGGAATTTTGAACCACTTAATTATATCTTATCAGGGGTGCCATTCAACAAACCATGACATTTCAAGCTTTGACCTGGTTTAAAAGGTTGCTTGGTCCAATATTTTCATCAGAGGATTCCTGGAAAAGGTTACCTCAGAGCTGGACGAGACCCACAGGAGGGGAGCAGGTGCCCAGGGCACACAGCCTATGTGCCCTCAGCTCGGATCTAGATAAATAGATGGATTGAATAAGAGAGGCATGTAGTGTACACTGCGGCAAATGGGTGTGCAGTGTACACGGCTGTAAATGGGTATGCAGTGTACACCGCTGTAAATGGGTATACAGTGGTACTGCAGTAAATGGATATGCAGTGTGTCGTGCTAAATGGGTATGCAGCGTGCACTGTGGTAAATGGGTATGCAGTGGTGCTTCGGTAAATGGATATGCAGTGTGTGATACGCAATGTGTGCCATGCTAAATGAGTATGCAGTGTACACGGATGTAAATGGATATGCAGTGTACACCTCTGTAAATGGCTATGTCCTGCACAGTGCTGTAAATGGATATGCAGTGTACACCGAGGTAAATGGGTATGCAATGTTCACAGAAGTAAATGGAAATGCAGTAGGTCATAGTCTGATTTAAACTCTGTTTGTGTTTCTGGAGCTATTCAGTCAGGCAGCTGAATTTTAGATTTGCAGACCAGTTATAACAAAATATCATATTGTTCATTTGTGTTCAGGGAATCTAAACGAGCCAAACACATGGGCCAGTCTGGGAATGGGGTAGAATTCAGGAGCATGTGAAGAGTGTGTTGAAAATCCATGCTCGTAACTGCTATTTTGGGCCCTCTTTCAGGGAAAACCGTACCCATTTAAGGGACCATTTCCCCCTATGTGGAACCCACTAGCCTACATGGACTACAACAACCTGTGGAGGACGATGGATGAAATGGGGAAGGAGGTAGGACCGCCGTCACTGGCGAGAGGCGGCAGACTTGTACAGCGAGTGGGGAACGGTTTCATGTCAGTCACATGCATTTCAGATTCCTAAGGACGCGCCGTGGAGAGCACCGCATGCCGAGGAGTGGGACCAGATCACCATGAAGGAGCTCTTTGACAAGCTCTGCTGGACAAGGTAGAGCCTGCGGCAGACCATCTTAATGTGCTCCTGATCGGTGCTGCCAGCAGGTTCTGGCACTGGTGATTGGTGGGTCATCCCCCCGGAGCTGAAGGGGTCCTCTCCTCCTTTCTCCCCAGGAGCGCCCTTCAGTTTGCCAAACTCTTTGTGAACGTGAATGTGACATCGGAGCCCCACGAGGTCTCAGCTCTCTGGTTCCTGTGGTACGTCAAACAGTGTGGGGGCACCATGCGGATCTTCTCCACCTCCAATGGAGGACAGGTATGCCCTGGGGAGCTGCCTGGGGGATGGGTGTGGAACTATGGTGCATAGACTGAAAAGTCCAGACATGGGTTCTGCAAACGTTCACCTCAGCTGAAGAACATTCACTAATTGGTGGTGTCATCCGCATAACAGCAAGTCCAGCGACCTTGCAGACAACACTGGCGTGGGATCAGGAGAGTGAGTAGGGCTGCAGAAAAGGGGCGGGACCTGCTGGGGTCAGCCAGTGCAACTGCAGAAAAGGGGCGGGACCTGCTGGGGTCTGCCAGTGTGGCTGCAGAAAAGGGGCAGGACCTGCTGGGGTCTACCAGTGTGGCTGCAGAAAAGGGGCAGGACCTGCTTGGGTCTGCCAGTGTGGCTGCAGAAAAGGGGCGGGACCTGTGGGGTCAGCCAGTGTGGCTGCAGAAAAGGGGCAGGACCTGCTTGGGTCTGCCAGTGTGGCTGCAGCCAAGCTGTGTTTCTGCTCCCTCTGCTTTGGATAGTTTCTGTGAGGGGTGAATTGGAGATAGTGAGGCCATGTCTCATTGTTTATGATGCTGAGCCCCCCCCCCCTTTGGGTTTTGATATGAGGTTTGGAGCCGTTTCCTGGAGGATGGACCCAGATGACGATGAGAACATTCTGTTCTGCTAAGTAGCTTCACTGAATATGTGTCCAAAACATCTGTTGATGTCTGTGTGTCTCACCGCATGAGTCTATGAGGTCCTGTCTCTGTCACTGTGACCCAGGCAGTAAACACGGGGGTGGTGAATTGAGTGACAAGTTTCACACCCACCACGATTTGAAAAGGAATTCCGGTTTCGATTTCCACCAGTATGCCAACTGGTTTGCTGCAGGGCAGTGGTGAAGCAGATCCTTAGAGCTCCCCCAGGTGGACAACAGAAGTAGCTTGCCAGAAATCTCTTTATTAGAAAGAACAGATACTTTATTCATGCCATGGAGAAACTCTCTTTCCACCTGTCCCATCCTAGCGGTCAGTGTTCAGCATCGCTAGTGCTGGATGTTCAGGCCTTTGTACAGATTCATACCAAAAACTATAGGCAAATTATCATTTGGGGCTTCCGGCTCGTAAGGACCAATTGTTGAGCTTCTTATAGTGTTATTTTCTGGGAGATGTTTTTGCTCTTCAGGCTAATAGCAAAGTTGGTGTTTCAGAATCTGAAAGACCGTAGCTTTAAAAAGAGTGGAATATTACCGTGGTGTTACAGAGGTCGTGCTTTGTGCTCGCTTCGGAAGGGTTGTTCTTTTCTTTTCTGTGTATGAGATGCTCATTTTGGGTCTGAGGAAGCTGGTCTGAAACTTTGCGGGGCCCTTGGATAGAGCAGGGTGGCGTCGATGAATGTGACATGATGCAGACTCTCTCAAACGTGGAATTTGAGCTTGCAGCAGGTAGTGCGAGCCAAGGTCTCCATGGTTTGATGGAGCAGATAGATTAAAGGAAATTGGAGAGATACCAGGTATTTACCTGAATTGGCATGAGTTCCTTCACGGAAATGCAGTCCTCTGTAACGGATGGCATAACGTAGCGTTACAGCTGCAGCCATTGGATCGCTATTTATGGTAGAATCACATCAACAACAGGATTGGGGCATGATTCAGGGGTGCCGGGGGGGTGTAGGGTGTATAAAGCTGGTCCATGCTGGATCACCGAGAAGCAGCCAGATATCTATGCAGCATTCTCACAGTCACACTGCCACGTTTACACTCTTAGCATATATGGTCTTTAGTTTTAATTTGACCCACTTCTTCAGGGTTATAGCATATCGGTCCCTCCTGGAACTCGAACCAGCAACCCCAAGGTTCCGAGCCCCCTTTTCCTCTAAGCCCCACACTCTCCATCGACCCCCACCAGGAGAGGAAGTTTGTGGGTGGCTCCAGCCAGATCAGCGAGCGCATGGCGGACAGGCTGGGCGAGCGGGTCAAGCTGGGCAGGGCCGTGTGCAGCATCGGGCAGAGCGGCGACGGCGTGGTGGTGCAGACCCTCAGCAAGGAGACGTACGAGGTAAGGCCAGCTCCAGCAAGCCTGGGGAGGCTGTGCTCTGGCATCCCTGAGCACGTTCAGGCCGTGGAAGCTCAGGCGTGTGGGAAGTCAGGTAACAGGAACAGCTCTTTGCAGGAATGTTAAATCAGACTGTCGGCACATTTGTGAGAAGCTCATAAATAAGTTTCACTCGTTCTGGATGTCATCCTGCCAGACAGAAGTCAGATAGCCACATTTGCTTTGGTCCCTCGACCAGAGTCTGCTCTGACTGTAGGCTGTATAATCCTGGGTGTGGGGGGGGGAGCCTGCTCTCTTCTAGGTGAACATGTGCACATCCACAGGCAAATTTACCGGGGCAGCAATTCCACCCCCTACTGGTCAGACAAAAATGCTATTTGATCATAAGTTCAATAAAATTAAATTATATTAAGTTTATATTTGAAAAAGTGGCTTATGTTAATCATATCATTACTGTAGCTGTATTTACCAATTCACTGGGTCTGACTGGTTGGGATTTCTATCCTACAAGCGCCTGTGTACTCGCTTGTCTCCTCTGCTGAGGACCTGCTGTTTCGCACCCTGATCTGAGTCCCCCCACCCTGTCATTTTTCAGGCCAAATACGCCATCATCGCCACGGCACCGGCGATGAACCTGAAGATGCACTTCAACCCCCCCCTACCCCCACTGAGGAACCAGCTGGTCCACCGTGTGCCCACTGGCTCCGTCATCAAGTGCATGGTCTACTACCGGGAGAGCTTCTGGAGGAAGAAGGGTGTGTGGGCCATGCTCCTGACGCCATGGCGACAGGGAGACCCCCTGCTGGCTCGGGCAGGAGGGCACAGGACCAGACAATGCCATAGGCCAGTGTTTCCCAGCCCGGGCCTTGGGGACCCCCCCAGTCCACATTTTTGCTCCCTCCCAGCCAGTGAAGAACACCAAATACCTGGTAAATGTGTGTTGGCAGCTGGAACGGAGCAAAAATGTCTTGTGGTCCCCAAGATGGCTGCAGAGCATTGTCTATATGTAATATCTGAGGTAATCTGTTTGGAAAAGAAACAGGAAAAATTTAGCAATGGAAAAAAAGATTCTCAAATCCACATTGGTTGGGGGGGAGGGTCACCACATGCTGTCAGTCACAACTGTCCATTAGATTAAACCTCTGATTGACAGAGCAGGATAATCCTACCCACTGTGAATTTCCAGGCATTGTTTCTGGTGTCAGCAAACAAGCCTACCTCGAAATGACATTAAGCGTTTTGAAATGGCATTATTGACAGGCTGGTAATGCATTTTCAGTCTGCTCCAAATTGTACGAACGGCCACATTTCTCCTCTTGATATTGACAGTCCGTGTCAGCACACAGAGCAGGTGAATCATTCTTCCAGTCTTTGCTGATCAATACTTATTCTACAGCCAGATTGAAGACACAGGCTTGGAATGGACGCTTATTTCGAAGGTCATTTCTCTAAGCCAGTTCCCAATCTATAATTTAATCCGAGTGCTTGGTACCTTCCGTATGACTGAGTCATTTATCTCTTGCTGTCTGTCCATCAGAATGTTATCCATAATTATTGCATTAATACTTCAGGGGGGGGGGCACTGTGCAGGCATGGTGAGAGAGATGGTGTCCCTCTCCAGGCCGCGTCTCACGCCGTGTTCCACGGGGGCCCGTCTTGCAGGCTTTTGCGGCAGCATGGTGATCGAGGACGAGGAGGCCCCCATTGGCCTGACGCTGGACGACTGCAAGCCCGACGGATCCGTTCCCGCCATCATGGGGTAAGTGCCGGTGAGAAGGTCCCAGCCTCAGCCCACTGGGCGGCTTCTTTTCTTCTCCAGCTCTCTCTGCGTGCGGGTTTTGTTGTTCTCCAATTTTTATTTGTCACTGTGCGAGGTGGATTATACATGTACAATGATATGAGTAGCTGCCTCTGTGGTGACATTAATAGCATCAAATAACTATACTGTACAATACTGATGGACAAAACAACAGTTCATGAACCATTTGCTGTATTTTCTGACCCCACTGGATGGTGGTTTACTTTAGGGCATGTTTTAGGGCCTTTTTTTGAAAAGAGAGCACCATCTAGTGGGATCATAAAATACAGCAAATGGTTCATGCAGCGTCGTTTTGCCCATCACTACCAATCATTAAATAACTATGTTATACAGATGTAGGATACAGGGAAATATATCCGAGGGGATTCACTGAGAATTATTTTCAATAAATACTGTTGTGAAGTAACCATGTATACGTCCTATGCTGACACCACTGGGTCCACCATGTTGCCATGGACACTATATGTAAATGTGTTAATGGAGTCAGGTCAGGTCAGGTTGGGGGGCATGTGCTGATGCAGCGTGTTGCCACACCCACCACATGACAAACCATCTCAGGATCTCAGCTGGCGACCCCCCAGGCAGACACACGGTCCAGACCCACCCTCCCACATCACATTAGAGTTAGCAGTCACACCCAATTCCTCAAGCTCCTCACACAAACTGCATGCAAACTCATCAGAAGCAGCCTGATCTGGCCAAGTCCAGCCTCATTCTCCTAGTAGGTGGTAGCTTACTGGATCTAAGCTGAATCTCCAGAGTAACAACAATACGTCTGTGGTCAGAATTCACAAACTGGGCACTTCTGTAGACCCTGCAGTTCTGCAGGAGCCTCCAGCGTCTGCCCACGAGGATGTGATCACTCTCCTTTGCTGCACCACCAGTACTGGAGTACCAAGTCCAACGATGCGGGTCAGGGCACTGGATCCAGTGAGCTGCCGCCCCTGACCTTGTACAAAGTCAAGGAACATGGAGCCGCCCAGCCCATGGGGATAAACACAATCCTCATAGCCAGCCTGTCAGTGCCAGTGGTCACACTGAAGTCACCTATGACCAGAGCAACCATCAACCACCTAGTGAAGTTGCGAGTGAAATGTCTCCCTCAACAAGACATCACTCACCGCGGTCAGAGCACACCCTGAGACAACAGACAAGACACGCAAGGAGTCCTCTGAGGTAATCTGGGGTGGGGTGGCGTTGGACTGACTGGACCCATCTCTTTCCGCAGCTTCATCTTGGCTCGCAAAGCTGTGAGACTCTCTGGACTGACTAAGGAGGAGAGGTAATTGCTCTGGGTGACCTGTAGCGGGTGACCCCACTCTCTGCATGTGTGGTTGGTTTAAGCTGTTTGGGGAAGGCAGTAATCTCACAAGCATAACCTCCTGGTCCCCATAGGAAGAAGAAGATCTGCGAGATCTATTCCCGAGTTCTGGGCTCAGAAGAGGCCTTGTATGTGAGTGACATGGCCCTGGGCCAGTAAAGTGGCTGGGAACAGCTATGGCTCTGAGCATTTTAGGTGCACTTTAAGGTACATGTTGAATTTACCAGTTAACTGTGAATATGCACGCATACAGTAATACTGTCTCTGTGTCATCCAGATATATTACGCCACACTGCCCCTGGTGGCCACAGGCACATCCTACAGTTGGCCAGGCAGATAGCCAATGTATACAGTGGGGTGTAACTCTCCCCCTGCCCACTCTCCACAGCCCGTGCACTATGAGGAGAAGAACTGGTGTGAAGAAGAGTACTCTGGAGGCTGCTACACGGCCTATTTCCCTCCGGGCATACTCACTCGATATGGCAGGTGAGTGACCGTTGGCCTTGGGGGAACAACCAATGACTGCCAATCATGATCTGATCCATTATGTTTGTAGACATTATATCCAAACCATTTTCTGTTGAATTATTTCTGGGTAATGGACTATAAGGCATGATCCAGACAACAGGAAATGCTCCGCGTTCTCTAAAAGGGATCGATTGAATGGTTGAGGGACACGTCTGCTATCGCCCCCCCCCCATTACTCAGGGTGCTGCGGGAGCCGGTGGGAAGGCTGTATTTTGCCGGGACAGAGACGGCCACTGAGTGGAGCGGCTACATGGAGGGGGCCGTGCAGGCCGGTGAACGGGCTGCCCGGGAGGTGAGGGGGCTGGTCATGTGACCTCAGCCGGGTCCAAGGGCGGGGCCAAAACAGCGGCAGAGCATCTCGGTGCTGTGCGTCTCTGTAAGCAATCTGACCAATCACAAAAAGATACTGGACTTATGACGACAGCTGGCCATCACACTGGATTTAACACTGTGGGGGAGGCGCAAATGACCTGGGTGGGCATGTACCTCACAATATTTAATTAGGCTGCATTCCCTCCCCCCCCAATAAATAGACCTTTGCATTTAAATTATTAAGATGGGGGCCCCTCAATTTCAAACGCTCTCCTGCGCCCTTCAGTGGGGGTCACCACGTCACAAGACAGAATCATTTGGAATGTTTTTGTTCTCCTTCCGGTCTTTTCTCAGATCCTTCATGCAATGGGATTAATCTCCGAGAGTGAAATCTGGAAACAGGAGCCCGAGTCTGTGGTACGTGTCTGCATGTGCATGTATGTCTCACAGAGCTGGAGATTAACGAATAAATCTGATTTTCTCCTCCTGGCTCCCAAACACTGTCTAACAAGCACTTCTGCCATTTGAGGACGTCATATATTTGAAGGGAAACATGTAAAAATGAATTAAGTTGTAAGTTGCCAAAAGGGCCCGGTTCTAAGACACTGATTGGTGGTTAATGCCCCCTCTGACCAATCACGCACTTCCTCCAGGATGTTCCCGCATTGCCATTCGTCACCACGTTCTGGGAGAGGAACCTTCCCTCCGTATCTGGCTTGCTGAAGTTCCTGGGCCTGACCTCCGCCCTAACGGCGGCGGCTTCAGCCGGCATCCTGGCCTACAAGAAGGGCCTAATCCCCCGGACTTAAGCCCCGCCCACAACCACCTGCCCAGAGCTCCTCCCTCCCTGGGTCTTAAGTCCAAGGCGAAGTCCGTCGTATTCCTCAGGCGTGAGGGTTCATTGTCGACTGAGGAGATAAGATAATGGAACATAAAGGTGTCTGACTCCTCCAACACACGGGGCTCTCTGTTGGTCCACATGTAGGGAACTTAGAAATGATATCATGTGATCAAAACAAGTTGTAATATTCATGTATTTAAAGATGATAAATATGATTTCTCTCCAAAGAGTGTGGTTCAAAGAAAATTCTGAGACTTTGGGGGGATTCAGAAGTCGTGAAAAAGGTCTGCTTGGCCAATCAGCAATCGTCGTCGTGAGAACAATCGTATGCCGGTGCATTGTCGTGATCCGCCCGATTACCTCTGATTTTTCAGGTGCGTTGAGTCGTGTCTGGCGATGCCTTTCTAGCTGACAGCAAGCAGGCGTCTGCACAGCATCACGGTTTTAAAAGCTCGTTTGCCTCTTAAAGGTGCTTAGTTTGACTGTGCGGTCCCTGCTACTCCTCATCACACCCTTCAGTCTTTCATGACAAATCATGTGAATATAATCTTCCTGTAATAAATTTACTTGTACTAAATTCACTCAAAATGAAGTTGAAGAATCACAGTGCATGTGTCTATCAAGGTCCATTCCAAAGGCTCAAGATTTGCTGAAATATGACTATGGCTCACTGGAAGCGGTAGCCAGGTCAAAATCAGTAAATGTAGTCTAATAGCGCTAATCTGCCACAAGATGGCGGTATTGAGGCACATGCCTCACTTTACTCACCACTGGTCACAATCTTTGACGTTCATACCTGAGATCAGAATGAGTGGACAATTTACTCTGTTCCCCTACAAAAAGAAATTTTTGTATACATTTCTTATGATAGTGATTACTGTTTTGGTGTTTTAATAATCAAACTTCTTATTAATCCTCTGAAGTAATACAAGAAAGGCACAGATATTGTATCCAGGGTTGGGGCCATTCCGGAATGCATTGATCAATTCCAGTACAAATCAGGAAATGGAACTGGAGCTGGGATTGGAAAAAAAAAACTACGGGGAACACAATTTGAATTTCAGGGAGATTTAAGTTCCAACTCCAGTTCCATTTCCTGATTTGGACTGGAATTGATCAATGCATTCCGGAATGGCCCCACCCTGATTGTATCAATCCTACAAATAAGTATTTTTAACAAGCTGTCTGAATGGTAACACTGTAACACCAATACCTCACGGCTATAAGTAAAGAAAAGTTGCCTTTTATTAAAGCCAGAGGCATGAGTTAAGTCTTTCTTTTTAAATATCCAAAGGGATTGATGTATATCGTCACTGTTTCATCCAAAATGATTTTGATAAATAGGCATATAGCTGGATAGTTAAATACTTAAATAAATCCTGTGCTAGTAGCATCTGTCCTGTGTAACTGGGATCCGACTGGATCGTCTTGTCACCCAAAGATGAGTGTGGATCCGTGGTGTCTGTGATCTTGTGCCTTATTCCAGCCGTGCTGTGTTGTTATTTTACAAGGGCCTCTGTGATCGTGCACCCCCCCACAAACCTCTACCCTGTCCATCCTCATCACCTCATGCTGCTTAGCGGTAAGGGGGGGGGCGGCCAGGACAGCATGCAGTGAGCTGATGAAACACGCAGCAGGTGTGCTGTCACTTACAGCCTGATTTCGGCCAATGAGAAGTAAGATGATAATTGATTGATGTGGCACTGTCCCGCCCCCGGTGTAGTCCATAGACTCGCTGACACTCTTGCTAGTGCACCTGCATTGTGGTTACAGGCTGTATGTCCACACGCCTCAGATTGCCTGTTCAATCGGGGACACAGACTCTGAGAGTTCTCCTCTCCTGCTCAACACGCATCATTCTTCATTTCAGATGGGACTTTTTTCAGGGCCGTGAAATCGACCCCGTTGTGTCAGATTGCCCTAAACTGTATCGCATCCTGAGGGTACCTGGGGGAATTTAACCGTCTAAAATAGCTAAAATTGCAGCTAAATGGTTTTGAAATACCATGTACTTTGTGCCAGGCTCAGCCGACTGTGATTTTATTGTTATTTTTTTATTGCCACTGCTGCTTCTGCGTGTCTGGACGTGCCTGGGCGTGTCTGGACGTGCCTGGGCGTGTCTGGGCGTGCCTGGACGTGCCTCGGCGTGCCCGGATGTGTCCGGACGTGCCTGGGCGTGCCTCGGCGTGCCTGGACGTGTCTGGGCGTGCCTGGGCGTGTCCGGGCGTGTCTGGACGTGCCTCGGCGTGCCGCCGTCCCCTGCGCTCTCGCGGGCGACGCCTCGCCTGCTCTGTTTCTCACACCCTGTGGCGGTTCATGCTGCTCCTGTACTTCTTGCTGATGTTGTAGAGTCGGCGTTCCCTCCGCGCCGGGGTGGTACCCGAATCCCGAGCCTCGCTGCCGTACCTTCTGTCGTCAGATGTTCTGTTCCTGTGGTCACGTTCTATGATTTCTGTTCAGTTTAATTCCAAAGTTGAAAATAAAAATGTGAATCGTGTCTTGCTGCCTGGTGCTTACATGGCCGTTACGAGTGTTAATGTGTCATTATTGTTCAACGGGAGTAACAATGTGTCATTAGCAGTAACACAAGCACCTGAATGGCAGGTATACACACACATTATACTCATACACACACTGTACAGTGAACTCCCTATTACTCATACACACGCTGTACAGTGAACTCCCTATTACTCATACACACGCTGTTTATAACGCCTTTACATGGACCTCAGGGGCTCGTTATTGTACAGGATGCGCATCTCACAGTCCCGTCAGGTCTGCCTGCATGAGAAAGGCTGCAAAAGTACAAAATAGGTGTAAAGAAAACCTAAAACACTCCAAAAAAACAGCAAGCCCAGCGGAGTAGAGGCAGGAAACGATTTTGTGCCCATTGACAAACACTCCAAATTCAATCGGAGTTTAATCAAATTCATTTCCGGTAGGAAATGAATTCTGGTTTTGGGCTTGTTAGTATAAAAGCTAATTCACAGCACTGTGATGGGGCTGAGCACGTCCATTAATCAGCCGTGCGTCGAGGGCTGGGGCGGAAAAGCAGCCCCCCCCCGCTGCTGGTGCAGTTGCAGGGTCATTAGTTCTACAGACACACTGCTGCCTGCTTCATAAAGCAAAGGCATCCGTTATTATACGCTGTCCCCCTGAGTGAGCGACCTGTCTGTCCTCGGTACACATCCATCTGTTCGGAGGGGAAAATCATCTGCTTAGGCAGAGAATGGCAGTGCAGTGAGTAATGAATCATCCAGCTACTCTGCGACCGCTTATGTAAGTCCGGGTCACGGGGAGTCTATTGCACACCCTGTGATAGTAAGCGGGGGACAGTGAGCAGGATGCCAGTGCATCACTGAGCACCCACACACACACACCCATGAACACACACCCAC